TGCCTTGCATGCCTGAGGCCCTGGGTTCGATTCCTCAGCACCACATAAGCAAAAAGAAAAAAGCCAGAAGTGGCACTGTGGCTCAAGCGGTAGAGTGCTAGCCTTGAGCTGAAGAGCTGAGGGACAGCGCCCAGGCCCAGAGTTCAAGCCCCATGACTGGACCCCCCCCCCCAAAAAAAAGAGTCTCACTGTCCCCATTCTGAGGGAAAAAAATGTAAAAGATAGTAGGCAGCAGTATTACATAGTTTTATCCTTTGGATACCTTGTAAAAATCTAGTTCTGTTATTTATTGCAAAGAGTTATCTTGAATCGAGATTAAAGTGAAAGGACAGAGGTAACTTTGGTCCTCATGTTTACATGCTTGTGAGAACTGGTTGTAGCTTTTTGGTGTTTCTAGATTTTTTTTTTTTGGTCTGTCAGTCATGGGGCTTGAACTCTGGGCCTAAGCACTATCCCTGAGCTATGCACCTCAAGGCTGGTGCTCTACCACTTGAGCCACAGAGCCACTTACAGTTTTCTGGTGGTTTCTTGGGGATTAGAGTGTTACGGAGTTTTCCTGCCCGGGCTGGCTTTGAACTTTTGAACCATAATCCTCAGATCTCAGCCTCCTGAGTAGCTAGGAATATAGGCATAAGCCACCAGCACCTGGCTTCTAAATTTTTTTTTTAATGCCTGTAGACCTTTTAGAGTTCATAGTGTGCTGTTAATAGCTATTAATAGTTCCTAATCAATCAAGCACCATCTTTCTTTGATGCAAGTTTTCATAAGCAAACCTTTCATACATATTTGCTTCTTCCTCAGTGTGAAGATCCCATGGTTATGACTTTGGGGAGAGTATGAAAATATTACAGTTCTGATCTGATCTACATATGAATGTTCACTCAGAAAAGTTTATAATAAAGATGTGGTTTTATTTATTCAATATTTTTTTCTTTTCTTCACTTCCAGTACATGTACTAGCCTTAGCAAGTTCTGTTCCAAACTCAAGCACCTTGATTTGGCTTCCTGTACATCAATAACCAACATGTCTCTCAAAGCTCTGAGGTAAATATCTCATGATAAGCATGTTCATTATTATATGACTTTCAAAAATAACTAATATGCAGTTGGAATTAAAGCCAGCTATGTTGTAGTTTTATTGAATATGTGTTGTACTTCAGATTCAATATTTTGTCTTACTACTTGCTATTTTTACAGTTACAGGATATATTCTAGTGAAATGACCGGAGGTAATTAAGATTTCTGAACAAAGTAGTACAGTTGATGAGTGAATGATTAGATCTTTTTAAGGCTTATTAAAACAAAAAGAGAGAAACAGAAAAGAAAAGGGCACATGTCCTTATCTACCAGCTTCTGAAGAGGCTGAGGCTGAGATCTAAGCACTGAGATTCAAAGCCAACATAGAGGTCCAGGCGCTGGTGGCTCATGCCTGTAATCTTAGCTATTAAAGAGGCTGAGATCTGAGGACCATGGTTCAAAGCCATCCTGGACAGGAACATCCATGAGACTCATTGCCAATTAACCACCAGAAATCTAGAAGTGGCACTATGGCTCAAGTGGTAGAAAACTAGTCTTGAGCTGAAGAGCTCAGGGGACAATGCCCCGACCCAGAGTTCAACCCCCACAACCGACCAAAAAAAAAAAAAAAAGCCAACCTGTGGGGTTGGAAAGGTGACTCAGTGGTAGAGCGATTGCCTTGCATGCATAAGACCTGTGTTCAATTCCTCAGCACCACATCAGCAAAAAGAAAAACGCCAGAAGTGGTGCTGTGGCTCAAGTGGTAGAACGCTAGCCTTGAGCTGAAGAGCTGAGGGACAGTGCCCAGGCCCAGAGTTCAGGACCCACAACAGGACCCCCCCCAAAAAAAAAACAAAAAAACAAAGGC